GATTGGTTTTTCAAACGTTGTTTTTGGTTTTTTGAGTTTGGAAGTCATTTTGAATAGTGTTTGGTTAATTTTTTAAAGAGCTTTTGAGTTTTGGAAGAGCGTTTCCAACTTCTCCAAAACGCTCTTCTAAAATATACGGGAATTATTACAGGTCCCAATTGATTCAACAATTGGATCATTGGAGTTATCGTGTTATTAGTCTAGGGTTTATTTTTTTAACCATAGGGATTCTTTCGGGAGCAGTATGGGCTAATGAGGCATGGGGATCATATTGGAATTGGGACCCAAAGGAAACTTGGGCATTTATTACTTGGACCATATTGTCCGTTCTAGTGAGCATTCCCACTCTTATTATCACTTCCGGTACTGGCAGGGGCAATTACCATGTTATTAACCGATCGAAACTTTAATACAACCTTTTCTGATCCCGCTGGAGGGGGAGACCCCATATTATACCAGCATCTCTTTCGGTTCTTCGGTCATCCAGAGGTGTATATTCCCATTCTGCCTGGATCCGGTATCATAAGTCATATTGTTTCGACTTTAGAGTTTTGAGCGTATTAATGAAACTTTTTAAATGACAAGCATACCCTTTTTATTATCTCATAACAAATTATAATTTCAACCATATCCCTATAAAAAAAAAAAACCACTAATTCTATTTCCAAACCCTAGTCTCAAAAAAAACTCACATCGGTGTTCTCTAGATGCATATCCCAACGATCCATCAAGCATTCAATCAGAGAAAAAAATTGAATAAGATTATTGCGAGAGATAACCAGTGGCTTTACTCCTTCAATCTTCCAATCTATCATTCGACCTTGGTATTTCTTCTCTTGCCTATTTCTTTTCCTTTTTTTTCCCCTATTTTCTCTAAATATTTTCAAAACTCCTCGACGAACAATCACTGGCTTCCATAGGAGTAATCGCCATATTCCAACGCTGCAACCTACCGTCACAAATCTTTAATTTTTTTTCACCTTCAAATTGAATTCCCTTTTGTTGCAACAGTGGATTCCAGTTATTTACCCAAAAATAAAGTTATTTATTTTTTTGTTTATCAAATTAATTCATCTCTGCATAGCATTTCTTTTTTTATTAGACTAATTTCAGATTAATTCACCATCATAGATCTTCCCTTCCCTGTATTGCAATCTAAAGTTGACCGTAGCAATATTTTTCTTTCTTCTTTTTCATTAATTTCCTTATAATATAATTAAGTTAATATAATTAAGTTTGTAATTATAAGGAAACAACAATATTTTTCTAGGAAAGTCATAAAGCATGAGATTAATTATTTTCTTTTTGGAAGAAAAATTAGAAACCTTCAATATTTTATTATTCTTATTATTATATTTTGGTAGAATCAAAATGTTCAATTACAAAATTTTCTAAATCGTTAAATAGTTTTTTGCAATCTCTTAATTGTTATTCTTATTGTTATTATTAGTATTATTAATTATTATGTTGCATATGGCATGCTGTGGATAAATTTGATTAAACTGAGTGGTTTATTTGTATGTCTTTACAAAAAGAGTTACAAAAAAATAGGTAAACAATAATTTAAAAAAATACTCTATCTAAGGGCAAAATAATTATTTCAGTAGTAGAAGAGTTTCCGTAAATATTTTGCCAAACAGATTGAAAAACTGTTCTACCATTAAAAGCTATTCTAAAATATAGTTTCTAAACACTAACAAATAAACTAAATAGAAGTGATAACTTTTGTTTCTCTTTTTCTTCTGCGTAAAAGCGGAAGCAAAAGTTATACCAAACGAGCCCTTAGAGAAGTATTCATATATATATATATATATATATATATATATATATATATATATATATATCTCCGATTGATTGTATTCCTTTTGTTTTTTGGTTGAATTTTTTTTAATGAGACTTATAATGTATAAGGTAAAATAGTCAATTATACTTTGAATTAATTATAATCATCATCATAAAGTAATTAATTAAGCACTCACATCTTCCTCTAGTTGTGATATTCATAAAACAACATACACATATAGATATAAATGCCAACTTTAGAAACTCTGACCTTGTGATTCTAGATCATTATGTTTTAATTACCTCCCATTAAGCATAAACATTAATCAAGATTAAGAAGTAGTTGAAATCATTCAGGGCTTAATCCAAGTGGCATCTTTTCTTTCTTACAAGTGGAAAGGGTGGGGGTTTGAATCACTAAACAAATCAAATGGATTTAACTTGTTTATTATATGATGAGAAAATGAGGATAGGGAAAGAGAAGAGAGAGAAAAGCGTAGTGAGAAAGCAGAAGCATAGATATATCTCAATTATCAATGTATATTTAACTTATTTATAGGCAAATCTTAAAGAAAACTCAATTGGTTAATTATACATAACTATGAAGAGAATGCTCTCATGACAGGAGTCTTGATTCTCATTATTTAACAATTGAATTGAAAATTTTATTAATAATTCATTTGACTCTCTTACAAGTATAAAAAAACCGTCTCAATCTAATACGAGTAATAGTTTAAAAGTTCAGGTATACTTGACCATCTTGGAACAATTAATGATCAGTATCTTCAAAATATAAAGTAAAATTTTCCAATAAAAGGAGAATGAAATTTATGAAGAAACTAAAATTAAAGAGAGACTAACAGGTTTAATTATTATTATTATTATTATTATTATTATATACACTTTATGTTTCAAAGTAGATGTCTACTTTAAAAACTGTGGGACGGAAGGAGTATATATACATATATCGCAATGTAGATAAGGAGAGGCAATATTTGGTTTGAATTAGCTAGCTGGGAATCGATGAAAACTTACAGAAATGATGACATTATTTACAGTTCCCAAAATGAACATCTATTTTGTGATGGAAAGAATATATATATTGTTAGAATATATTGTTACCATATATTGTTATAATATATTCTATAATATATTGTTACCATGTATAGGTTTACTGAAACGTGTGGGAGCTTGTCCATTTACCCAAAAGTTCGAACTATTGTGTAGTACTGCATACCCACTCATTTATACACACTTCAACCCCCATCTAAATATGATATGAGACAAGTTTCACTTGTAACATTTTCTCCCACCCGAACTCGCGCAATGCCCTTGTTGCGGTCGGACCACCCTGCCTATCCGAGGATAAACCCAGACGCCCTCCGGGCAGGGGACTTGGCATGACCCCGGATTAAGGATTGGGTCTGACTCTGATACCAACTGTAACGGGTGGACGCTTACCTACTTACCCAAAAACTCGAACTATTAGGTAGTGCTGCATACCCACCCATTTATACACACTTCAACCCCTATCCAAATCCGATGTGAGACAAGTTTCACTTGTAACATTTACCATATAGGGTTTAGGTTTACTTGCTCTCCACACATGATGTCTCCTACATCTCACATATAAATACAATATAGAGTTTTATACTCTCTCTTATTTCTAAAATGGTATCAGAGCCTTTCGATCTCTGGTAAACAATCTACCAGTTTATTGTAGTTACTATCGCATATAACATGCACACCATTATTAGCCTCATCCTCGGTGGCAGCGGTTAACTAACACGTTTCGGCACTCCAAGATCTTCATAAAGATCTTCAAATGCCCCGTCCAGGGAAGCCTCGTTGTCTAAGTCTTCTTTCGGGAAACCCAACGAGATGCCTCATTTAAAGAAGCCCCGTTTAGGGATGCCTCGTATAGGGAAGCCTCGTTCAGAAATGGTCAACGTGCTGGATCAGATCCGTCACTGCACCATCATACGCCTTAAGTGGTAATCCCACTCTTCTATGCGCTTTCATGAGCACCAGTGGTAATCCCGCACCTCAATGTGTCGGATCAGCTCCGTCATCGCGCCATCAGTGGTCATCATGCGCTCACACGGGCCTTTAAGGTGGTGAATCTTCACAAATTCATCACCCATCAGTTATAGTAGTTATCTCTAGGATGGCAACGTCAACCTATTCACACTCCGCATCTACCTCCAAAATATTACAGATCCACCTTACGTCATCTGACATATCAACATTGGTGCAACGTCAAACACATTCTGCAACGGTGCCAATAATTGTGCCACGTCACCTACCATGTCAGTTGCCATGCATCAGAGGTGCTAGCAGTAGTACCAAGTCACATGCCACTTTAATTGCCATGTCAGTAACCACGTTAGCATCGGTGCCACGTCAACTACATCAAGGTGAAATGATTGTCTTTAAACTCAAGATAACTTTCATATAACCCACCTTGACTTTGAGGGGTTGTTAGAATATATTGTTACCATATATTGTTAGAATATATTCTATAATATATTATTATCATGTATAAGTTTACCATATAGGATTTAAGTTTACTTGCCCTCTACACATGATGTCTGTCGTATAAACTCTCGTATATTCTTACATTTCACACATCAATACAATACAAAATTCTATACTCTCTCTTATTTCTAACATTTATCACACTGTAGATTGGTTTGAATTAGCTAGGTAGGAGCCTTAGGATGAAAACTTGCGGAAATGATGACATTGGAGTGGAAAGTGAGTAATGGTGCTTCACTTCATTCTGTCTTTTAAAAAGCTGCTTCAAAAACATTAATCATGTTTACTTTGAGGCCGGACATTAAAATAAGAGTTACTTTGGTCAATGAAACTCTTTTTTAACCACTTAGCTAGCTTTTTACCACTACTTTAGAAGAGAGGTCACGTGAGGGGAGATATGAGGTCACGTGTAACTGAGGGTCAGTCCTGCAATTATTCATGCAAATTACAGTAGTGATGAATAATGAGTGTTTGTTTTGATATGGAGGGATGTTTTCTTGTTTCTGTGTCCGAATGCGAATACTGTGTCTGTGTGGGATCAAGTTTCAAGCAATGTGATTGGGTCAGTACTCATCAGGCCCAACGTACCCCACAGTGCCCACCCACACACACCCACACAACACACGTATCACACACATATATCACACACTATCTCTCCTATTCCAATATTCCACAGTTGCAAGCTTTATATAGAAGACTTGCCTTAACCTTACCTGCACAAGGTGGGGGGTCAATGAAAGAAAGCAAGAAAGTTCATAGAAAAAGCTAGCTAAAGCTTAAAAGCTCAAAAGAAAGCTGATCCATACCACAAAGCTACCAAGTGCTCTTCTCTCTCTATCCATTGCCCCTCTCTCTTTCTCTCTCTAGCTATGATCAGTGCTAAAGAAACAATTTAATAAATTAATTAATTAATTAATTCCCACTTGAAAAGTCCTCGTACAGGGGTATAGGTGAGGTAGGGATTGATTAATATTATGCTTCTTCCATATCATCATCTATAAGATATATATTCTCACCACCCATGTTAGTCGACAACGCTGCTGCAGCAGCACCCACATCTGGTCCATCTTCTTCTTCTGATGCCTTCACTTCCTCACAAAATGGGTTTCTTACTAACAAAAGGAAAAGAAGACCAGCTGGTACACCAGGTATATATATATATCTATATCTATATATTCAATATTCATCATCATATTTACAAGTACTGTAACTGGGTTTTTCTTTTTTCTCCTTAATTAATTAAATTAACATCATTCATGATCATGCTATATATATATAGATCCAGATGCTGAGGTGGTTTCACTATCGCCAAAAACTTTATTGGAATCAGACCGATACGTGTGCGAGATCTGCAACCAAGGGTTTCAAAGGGACCAGAACCTTCAGATGCACCGGCGTCGGCACAAAGTGCCGTGGAAGCTTCTGAAGAGGGAGTCGGGGGATCAGGTGAAGAAGAGGGTGTTCGTGTGCCCCGAACCCAGCTGCTTGCACCACCACCCATCCCACGCTCTGGGCGACCTCGTCGGCATTAAGAAGCATTTCAGGAGGAAACACAGCAATAACAAGCAGTGGGTGTGTGACAAGTGCTCTAAGGGATATGCTGTTCAGTCTGATTACAAGGCCCATCTCAAGACTTGTGGTACCAGAGGACATTCTTGCGACTGTGGCCGTGTCTTTTCCAGGTAGTTTTTTTTATTTTTATTTTTTATTTTTAAATTTAATTAATCCCTTTTTCTTATATAATTATTTTCATTAATTTCTCTCTGTATAGGATCTCTTGGCAGTCCTGTTGCTGAATTTGATCTCTGTTCTATGTTTCTTTAATTGATTTATTTTCATGATCTGTTTCTCTATTTCTCTAGTCACTGAAACCCTAAAATTCCCAAAAAAAAAAAAAATAAATAAATATTTAAATATGCAAGAAATAAAAATATGTCAATTATACTAATTTTTGGTACTTTTATTACTTCTGGTTAACTTTTTTTTTTTTTTTCCTACAGTTATTCATGATCCATAAATATGTTATGTATTGATCATCAATGTGAATTTCAATGATTAACAAGATCCAGTAGTACTAATACATACCTTATCAAGTTTAGTGTTGTATATGTGAGTGAGTAAGGTACTATTCTGGACAACAGTTTTTATTAGCTCCAAAGCAAGTCACATGTACGTACATGAAGGAGATTAATTTGGTTGCTTTCTTGACTTAGTTGTGATACTTATTAATTAATTAATTAAATCATTTTGGTCAAAGACGTACACCATAAACAAACCAGCTGATTAATTACAGTGTTGCTTTATCTCAGAGTAGAGAGTTTCATTGAACACCAAGATACTTGCAGTCTTAGGCATGTCCAGCCTGAGTTGCAGGCATTGCAGCCGGGCTGCTCGTCTCGAACAGCTTCAAGCACCAGTCCCTCAAGCGACACCAATTTCAGTATTGTCCCATTGCCTATAACTGCAGCAATGCCAACATTACCGCCTGCTGAACGTGTCTTCTTAAGCGCCAGCGGGCGTCACAATTCGTCATCTCCTCCTGTGGATCATGATCATGATCATGATCAGCAGCAACACAATTTGGAACTTCAACTCTTGCCATCATCAAACACTTGCTGCATGTTGCGGAACTCAGATGAAAATCAAGAAACTCATTTGAAACTCTCGGTTGGGTCATGCAGTGGCGGCGAATTGAGTGCTGAACCGAACTGCCCAAAATTGGATGCAGGTAGAAGCTCTCCGCGAGAAATTAGGAATGTAATGGAAGCCACATTGGAAATATCAAGGTTGAAAGAAGGGGCAAGTGAGCAGCTAAAGTTGGCCATGGCCGAAAAGGCCTTAGCTGAAGAGGCTAGACAACAAGCAAGGAAGCAAATTGAGTTGGCCGAGTTGGAATTTGCCAATGCCAAGAAAATTCGACAAGCAGCACAGGCTGAGCTCGAAAAGGCTCAAATTCTAAAAGAGCAGGCCACAAAGAAGATCAGCTCCACCATTTTGGAAATCACCTGCCATGCTTGCAAGCAACAATTTCAAGCAAAAACAACCACAGCACCAGCTGATGAGGCCTCCCTTGCTATGAGTTATATGTCATCGGCCACAGAAGGTGAAGGAGAGTTTTAGTAACAAATTATGATTTAGCAACTCTCGATCTCACCCAATCTTTTTAATCTTTTATTTATAAATTGCCACCCTTTTTTTTGTTTCCCCTTCTCTTTTTGATGATATATCATTTGGGTGTTGTCATATGGTGTCAAGATGTAGAACTAGTGAAATGTAAACTTGTTGTTGTTGTGTGTTGAAAATTTCTTCATTTGTTTCTAATGGAAAAATGCGACAATTGAAGTTTAGTTTTAGAAAATTTAAGTAATAACCGGAGGGAGGAGTTTTATATCATCAAAATTAATTTCCTTTTTCTTTTTCAATCTAGAAAAATAACAGCACATCTAACCTTTTTCGGAATCTACCATGATGATGGGAGTTTTGTGCAATAGGTTTCTTTTTCGTATGTGCCAAGATGCCATGTGGATATTTTTAAATGCTAATTAAAATGAAAGATGGAACTTCCATTTATGTTACTAATTAAGTTGAAAGTCAACATCCTCGGTCAATTTTTGATTTTTTATGATGGACTATGACTGGCTGACAATATATTGATTTTTTTTTTTTCAAAAGAATTGGTTGGTCTGAAATTAAGGAAAAAGAAGCAAAGAAGTGGAGGTTATGATGATGATCTTTAGAGCTACATATAGTTGAAGGAACAGGGTTGGTTGATAGAAGAGTGTGATAGGTAAGACCAATCCTCGATCCCTCACCATGAATTTGAATAAACGACTTAGAACTTGGGGAATCTAGCTTCCTTTCACTGTTGCACTGACACCCCCTAAGTTGGCAATCATGAAAAGGGGTGCAAGGTCTCACACAATTTGACACAAGCTAGCCATATACTACTGTTTGAGATACTAGAATAGGCCTTTTTCACTCATAGAATTTTGGTTTATTTAATTTTTTTATTTTATTAAATCTTCCCAAAAGGCTTGAACAACTGAAAATTGGTTTTAACTCCCTTAACCACATGATTTGAACTCCTAATTAAGTCGACCTAATAATCAATTACTGGTATTTGAGGGGGGTCATGGGCCATTTGTTTGACACACCATTGGTTACAAGCACAAAATGAGTGTGTGGTTATTCAATGAGAGAGAGAGATCTAGAGAGGAGGGTGGGGTGTCGTTTTTATTGCACTTCTGTAGATGACTATAAATGCGTATAGAGTTAACGCCATGTTTTTCAGTGCCAAAGTTGAAATGGTTAAAAGACAGGGAAATGTCCCTTTCAAAAATAAAAAAATACAACACCACCAAACACATATACTTTTATCTTTCACTCACTTTTATCAGAATCAGGCCAGAAGCTAGCAGGTGACACAGTTACCCTTTCATTTATACATATACAGAGACCACACATTGCAACACACAGTTTGAATTGAAGCCCCAATTTCATTTCATATATACTACTGTAGTACATATATATATATATATATATCTCACACATATATGGTAACAAATGTAGAAACCAAACACGTGTGCCGTTGATTTACTTTCACCATTCAAACAAAGGCAAAAAAAAACACAAGCGAAGAGAACCACTTGGTGAACCCAATGAGGGTTCTATTTTACCCTGCTTTTTCCGGGGCCATGTGCGTCCCTTTAAACACCTTTTAATGATTTTGTTCTTTTTCTGCTGAGTTCCTAATAATATATACCTAATGCTTGCACCAAGTGTTTTACTTACCGAACACCACCACCATCACCACCACCACCTTCCCTCCCCAAAAAAAAAAGGGTTTACTGAAATTAGATTTGTACTTTTGAGCAACAAATGAGTAAAAGTTTTGCTCCTTTGCCACTCATATATTTATAAGTATATATATACACATATATAAATATACATAGACACGTAGAAGGTTGACCGAAGGCAGTTGCATCACTCAATTTTTTTTTTTCCTTCCTGGAATGGTTAAGCAAGTGACATATATGAATACTAATTGCATTGTGGGCCTTTTGCCAGACAGCCCAGTATACTGGGACAAAAAGAAAGCCCATTAAGAGCGAATAAGGCCCAGTCCAACGAACAAACCAAATAACCGCAATTAACGGCTTAATTATCCGTTAATAGTGGGTATTCGTGCAACTTTCCGGTGATGATACCCTAGCCAGTAAGAAGTACGGTGACTTTGATGAACTCACTTTGGAGGACGACAGCAAGACGGCGAGGGATTTCAGTCACTTATGATGCGTCTGGAAGTTGAGCAATCTTTAAAGAATCCCAACTTGAAGATTGAAGTGATGGTAGATCAAATTCTAGCAAAAACAACTCTCTGCTACGACTTCTTCCAGTGAAAGATCCGGTCAGTTTGTCCTTCCCATGTATAGTACACCATAGATGATAGGCATATTTCGTGAAACAAGTTTGGAGGCAAGTTTGTTTTCCATCGGTTGCTAATCCATAGGACTAGGGCATCCCAGTTGTGGATTAAAGTACATAATTGACATTTGTCCTTGATGTATTCCAAATTGGGGAAATTAATCAGCAATTGAAGAATAAGTGACCATGTGATTCTGAGAGATTTTGGCAAAGGACACAAAGATTATGGTGTTGTGACATTGATTTACTATCCAGTGTGAGTAATCTGGATTGAACCACCAACCATAAGTTGAACTTAATTCGTGGGATTGTGAGAGAATGTCATACGAATTGTGCCAATGCAGTGGAGCTGAGTGACCTGCATGATAAGCTTTGGTATGCTTTAAGCTATACAACCCTGTTGAGGATGCAATCCATACTTTTTTTGTCTCTTTTTGATGGGCATGAAGGATGCAATGAGAACAATTTATGGATTGTACATGTTAAGCAAGTAGGAAATAACCAAGAGGAATTCATAATGAAGGCATCAACTATTGTGGCATCATTGAATCCAACATATATCAGTGAGAGTATTGGTTGGAAATCTTGTGCACAATGGACCTCCTGGAGCCCAATTATCCCACCAAAAGGAAGTGTTAGTACCATTATCAATTTTATGCTTGATGAGAAACCTTGCAAGGTGTCTAAGTTGAAGATTTTCCTTTAACTCCAAGAATATGGTTGTAGAAACTTAAGTGTCCATAGATTTCTGGATTTGATGAGGTGAGTTTTACACCACTTGATCCATAATCTATATGTGTCATCAGTCTGTAGTCCCAAATATATCTGAGAATTGCGGCTTTCTTGGACAGTTCCAAATTTGGGATTCCGAAACCACCAGAATCTTTTGTTCTACATAATCTTACTCTAAACAACTTTAGCTCTAGTTGATTTCATCTCAGGTCTAGACCATAAGAAAGATTTGAAAATTTTGTTCAGCTCATTTATTGCACCTTTTGGTAGTATAAAGATGATACACCAATATAGTTGGTTTGAAACTAGGACAACTTTGATAATTTGTAACCTTCCAGCATATGAATGATGGTGAGGAAATGCAGGCCTATATCAATGATATAAATCTTGTTTAGAAACCAAGTAGTGTGAGGCAGCCGATAAGTGCTTAAATGTTGCACATTTCAGCACTTAAGTTAGGGTATTTTAGTCCTTGCATCTATTTTACTTTCATATTTTAGTCCTAATTTATGTTTTTGTCAATTTCAGGTCAATAAGATTCAAACGGACTAATTTCGGTTCATTAAACCCTTTTTAGAGTCAAACAAAGACAGTTGGAAAAAGTTTAGAAAATGGCAAAAAGAGGCAGCAGCCCATTGTTTGTATAGTGTGCTTATCCTTCAAAAGCCGTCAATTCTATCTTTTTTCGGGCCTTTGATGATGTTCCCAATGATCAAGAAGCAAATCGACTAGCCCGGGACCAAAATGGAGTTAAACAGGGCTTAAAAGAAATTTCTAACACTGGGGAATCAATCCCCCACTGTTGGCAGAAAGGTGTGAAAAATTACCTTTAGGGGATCGATCCCCAAGGCTGAGGGATCGATTTCCCAGTCCCTGGCAGCATTGCGGAATTTATCTGTTTAGGTTTATTTTGTAAATCCATTGTCATCATATACTTATCCAAAATATACATAAACATATCCAAAGGAATATAGTTACACTGACAAAGTCGCAATAAAAAAGGCAATTACATGTCATTTGCCAAAGTTTTACAAAACGAAATTTAGTTACAAAAGATGTCAAAAACAATCCTTCGAGGCCCATCTAAGTTTGTGGAGGAATATCGTCCACCACTTCCTTTCTGTGACCTGAAAAATGATAATAAAAGGGTGAGCACAACGGCTTGGTAGGAGGTGCTTAAAACGCACTCCTTAATGATTTCGTGAATCTAATACAAAGCATAAAATATAAGGAAGGGGGTTATGCTTAACTTGGGAAAATTTTAACATCTTCATCACCATATAATCCAAGCACAATAATGCAATTCTATTCCCCATTTCCCAAAACCTTTACCAATCTTAACAAATGTTAATGTAACCTGACCCGAGGCAACTCCTTAGTGTCACGAGAGAAGTATTAGCTAACTATCCTTAACCTAAGGCAACTCCTTAGCGTCATTTGGGGCTTAGGTAGCTCAACCACGCATAGGGCAATCTCCCTAATTCCCTCTAGGTTCTATTAACGCGGACACAAGGTGACTCCTTGCCGTACGGTTTTCGCAAACCTCTTTTCAAAACTTTTTCCCTAAATCAATTTCTTTTCATTTCAAAATCAATTTCCATATCTCACCCAATGTCAATGCATGAATGATACTTGCCTTTCTATGCCATGCCAACATGAAATTCCTTACAACATAACTACAACCATACTTGCATGTTTTGAAAGTAAATTAATACAAAAATTATCATGCAATCAAATCATCGATTATAGCATTTTAAACATGTGAAGCAGGTAGTAATTTCATCAAGCACACATCTTCACAATCATTAAAGTAAGCATGTAATTTAACATATTTATCACATATATGCAACTATCATGCTTCACATTTAAAAATCCTAACAACCATAAACCAATTTCACAATTATGCACGTCATATTGCAAATACAAGGAAGATAATTCACTAAAACCAAAGGAATTGAGGTTTAGAGACCCCTACCTCAAAATCCAAACAAAAGCCCCAAAATTTTCCCCAAAATTGAAATCACCAAAGTTGTCCAAATGAAAATCGCCTCCGATCAAAATGTTGCTCTCGTCTTGCTTGTTAACTTTGTCTTTAATGGCAAGGCCAAAATCCTAATGGAGAATGGTGAAATCAAGCTTCAAAATCTATGAAGATATCAAGCTTCAAAATCCACTCAACAAATATTCATAA